ATTTAGTTCCTCTCCTTTCGAATTCAAGTCGTATGCCTCTGTAATCCACGTGATATTCAGCGAATTTGCGTTTTTTTCTCTTCTTTTCGTTAAAAAATTTCTCGTTTAAACTTGAAATGTCAGCTGCCGAGAGATGAAACGGAATGCTGGAGTAAGTACAGGCGAGTTGTGTTGCAAAATATTCGCGAGAAAATCCGCAGTCAAGCGATACCAAAATCAAGCTATTTCAATTGCTTTTGCCTAACAATTCTGCAAAATCAAGTTTCCGCAAATGGGGTTTTTACGGTTTCAAAAGTTGTCATTTTCAGATCTCTATAACAAACCATCGTATAAAGCATTTTGCGTTTGAAAAGCTACAAATAAGATACGTTTTAACGCAGTTTCAATCAAAAGAATAAAAAATCAAGTAGAACTGGTTTTATATAAACGCTGTCAGCACTGGTATGATGCTTTTAATACACCGGGTAATGTTTAGTGATGTGCAAAATTCCGCGTCAGGCGAGACTTGAACCCATATTTTACTCTATTCGGTAGCGCGTGCTCAAACCGCTACATTACGGACGCCATTTTGCTCACCACTCTTTCTACTCTACAGCGCATCTGTCATCTGTTTTGCACATCACCCTACAACACCGGGTGTATTTAAAGCATTTACCATTGCTGAAAGCGGTTGAATATATCTGTCAGCGTGCCTAGGCTCAATGTCCATACCAACTACCAGCGCCATACCGTTGACGCTTGGCTGTTGACAGATCAATGCGTTGTAGAGTAGAAAGAATGGTGAGCAAAATGCGCGTCATAGTGCAACGGGTTAGAGCACGCGCTCTCGGATAGAGTGAAATGTGGGTTCGAGTCCCGTTTGACGTGGAAGTTTTGCACATCACTCTACAACAGAAAAAAGCATTTGCATATCTTTGTTTTTTCGATTAATACAGTAAATAATTGACGGAATCATATTTTCAAACATTATATATATATATATATGTGTAAATAAATATTGTTTATGGACATGCACATATATGTATACATATGTATGTGCATATCAATATGTATGTATAAGTATAATTTCTGCATTTCATTGTGTTGTTTAGTCGTTTCCGTGATAGTTCATGTATTGTGCAGGTTAGTATTAAAAAAAACACTCGGCGTTGATCAATCCCTGAGGGATGCGCTATGCATTCGACTTTAATTTTTTACTTTGCTTGAGGTGACTGAATGCATATCTGGCCTTTACATTGACTCGCGGTGGCCTCCCGCAGTGCTGCTTATCCTCCCAGACAAGTCTGAGACCTGTCTGATACCAGTTTAACGACCCCGGCGGAATGGATGGCTTGCTGAGCCATGAGCGCGAGATCGAACCATTGACCTTGTGTGCGACGCAGAACAACTCTAACCTCTGCGCCACATGCGCCACATGCAGGTTAGTATTCTTTTTGATAAACTTCAAGTATTGCCATCGCTTTTCCAAGATTATTTTCCATGTTCAGCGGTACTCTTCCGGCGACAGTTCATGTATCCTAGATGGACGGTTACCCACCACCGTACAGTTTGGTCAGTTTATCACCATCCTTCACTCATGGAGTAACTTATTTGTTATGATCTTTCGAAATACTTTGTATGCTCGTAATTATTATTTGAGCCAACATGTCATGTGGTTTGTTAAATGGCTGACTTCTAGAGCCCATTACACGTGTTTCGACCTTGACGGTCTCATCAGTCGTGCGCTGTCCTTCGTCTTTAGCCAGTCCTCTCGGGCGCTCAGTAACATGTACTGAGGGTAGGCGACGACGAAGATTCTACATTGTCTATCATGTGAATCTACCAGCCAAGAGCAATCATTTGTACAACACTGTCTATACAGTGATAATTTCATTTAAAAGACAGTGTAAAATGTTCGCCGTCGCTTACTCTGAGTATAGGGACTGAGCGCCTCGAGAGGACTGGCCAAAAACGAAGGTTACCGCTCTGTTGAGAGACCGTCAAGGTCGAAACACGTGTATAGGGCTCTATAAGTCAGCCCATTTAGACAGACCACATGACACGTTTGCTCAAATAATGATTACGAGATATACCCAGTTATGTAAAGTGATGTGCAAAAACGTTTGCGTCAGCCGGGATTCGAACCCTTAGGCGGTTGGCTGCTCACAGATAACACGTTGTAGCTTAGAAAGAGTGCTGTAAAAACGAGCATCGGTGATGCGACGGTTTAGCATACGCTCCCGGATAGAGTGAAATCTGGGTTTAAATCCCGACTGCCGCAAATGCTTTTGCAGACCACTTTACATAATTGGGTACATTGAAACATCATAACACCGCAAGTGGCGATCAATCTAAAAATGGTTTCTGATCTGATTGCGAGATATGCATTGATTTAGCGTGGTCTTCAAAAAACACTCGAGACAAAAGGTATATAAACTTTGTGAACCATTTTTATCAAACAAATCCGTATATCGGACGCCTTTCTTTGCAGAGCATCTCATGCGATACTGGGGAGTGCTGCTGCAAAGAACTTTCTGTCGAAGTGGAAACAATTTTTTGACTGAACACTTCCAGAGATGCATGATTTACTGATGCAATGGATCGAGTGAGTTACTCCGAAAATTCAAATAGTCGCTGTAATGCACATAAAAGTAACATCCTGATTTTTTTGAGGAAATAGTGTGAATAGTTTGGTACAATCTCTTGTTCCAAACAACCAGAGCTTCACACTAGCACCTAACGTGACGCATTTGGAAAGAGTAAACAGCGTTGCTCAAAAACGATTGCACAACAGACTAATGACCTATAGGTAAGCAACAGTGATTTTTGGTGTTTTATTTGCATTCATAATCTACACAAAAGGTTTTGCTCTCATTCATTAGAACAGAAGATCTGAGTTGTACCACCTTTAGGAAGCTCTGCTCGTCGTCACGCGAAAGAAGTGCTGGTACATCCTACACGCTGAAGTGTTGGAAAATCGTGGCAAGGCTTGTTCGTCTATATCGAGTGCGTTGTTTATTCTTGCAACACATAACTATTCGCACATGATAGATCAGATGAAATTGTTTCTAATTAACCACTTTTTTGTGGTGGTATGATGTTACTGATATATACCAGTGTTATAGAGTGATGTGCAAAACTTTAGCGCCAGCGAGGATTAGAACGCGCGCCTCACTCTTTCCGGGAATGCGTGCTCTATCCGTTACACTACTGAAGCCCATTGTGCACATCGCTCTTTTCTACGCTAAAGTGCACCGATCTGTCAGCCGCCAGCCGTCAACGGCCTGGCCCGGTCAACGCCAACGGATAGAGCACGCATTCCCGGAAAGAGTGAGTTGCGGGTTCTAGTCCCGCCTGACGCTAAAGTTTTGCACATCACTCTATAGCACTGGGTATATTCGCACACTTTTTTAAGCTAATGATATGGTACTGCGCCAAATTTTCGCTACTTGTCTCGTCGTCCATGTATTATTTACATTTTCTTTGGTGAATTTTTTTCTATTTTTGTTTCCAGAGGCAAACGCTAAGCCTACGTCGACTCTTCAATTCATTTCGTCGACGCGATAAAATTTTTGGAACTCCTTATATGGCGAGGCTGTGATGTACGTCAACTTTCAAGCGACAAAGTTCTGTCAGAGAAATGAACGTGCTCAAGGACGCCTCGAAATCGGCAAGTACGCTGACTGCAAATCCGCGAAAGCGAGGTCGTCTTCGTGAAAAAGCCACGAGGAGGCGAATCATCGTCACGTTTGCGGATTTTGTTACAAGTGCTGTGGTGCCTTGTAGGGTCACAAGTCATCTTAAGTATCATATCTCCTCCATGAGTTCAACAAATGTATCTATTCCATGCCTTTCACTTATTCTTCTATTTAATATGCTGTGAGATGTCTGCCAATCTTCGACAACTATTAAAATACTATTATAGGTCACCTATGCAATGAATAAGATCCAGTCAAACTTAGTGTTCACTTTTTATTTTGTTGTATTTATTTTTGTTGTACTTACTCTTCTATTGAGTCTGTTTACTGAAAACCTCTACCCTCCTTTCCTTTATTGTTGTACTGACCATAAACACCCAACATGTAGAGTACTGTGCAAAAGCGTTTACGTCGGCCGGGACTCGAACCTAGATCTCACTCTTTGCGAGATCATATGCTAGCCGTTGCACTACCGACGCTCGTTTGTTACTAAATGGTTCGTGTAGAAAAACAAGCTGTTTGGGGAGCGTTTAACAGAATCATATATCTAGTAGGCCACTGCACTGGGCTGTCATTACAACCGATTTCGATTGTTCGCACTTCATAGCTTTACATATCACTCAACATTCTTAACTATATGGCTATGTTATCATCATAACGCTGCTAAAATGGCGATAAGACGAAGAATTCTTGCAAATTGTGCATTTATAACCTTTTATCTCTATTGAGAATGTCTAAAACTCGTCTTACATTTGTCAAGTTTCGACGAACTTCAACTTTCGAGATGTTTTTTCTTTTGTATGTGGATATTTATCGTGTTTTCTCTTATATGTCGTATATGTGCTGATGATTGCCGATTTTTAGTAATAAATTTTGAGTGATTTGCCTCGCTCTTGAAATGATAAGGATCCCTTAACAGGGGACTATTTACTTTCACGAATTCTTTTAAAATTTATGCCTGTGTGATGCTGCAGCTTCTGAATGTGTGGATTGTTTTTCTCGAAAATAAGAAAAATTTTTTTACCGTCTCTCATCAAATTGAAAAAGAATACTACTATTAGGTCGCTTCATAATTTTTGGCATAACAGCAATAAGCACCAAATTTATTAGCCAGAAGTGATCAGTAGAGAACATTTGGGTGTACAACTTCACTATACTTGCTCTAAGATGGAGAGCTGTCTTGGGAGTAAGTTCGCTTGCTACTGATATAGGAATGGTGCTTATGGGAAAAGGCTAGTGATGCGGAGCACAAGATTGATGGAGCTTGGGGCGATGATACGGTTGCAAAAGGAACGGCTGAAGTGGTCCGCAATGTTCAAAGCTCGAGAGAATATTCTAGAGGATCAGTTACGCTTGGGCCGTCCACGGAAGTCTCCATTATTCTTGCGCGGCGCTTCACTGCATTTTCCCCTACTCGACATTCCTGAATGAGTAGCAAGCGAATTTGTTTCCACGACAGCTCTATCTTAAAGCAAGCGTAGACAAATTGTTTGTCAGAATGTTTGGGTAATGGCAATGACATTGGGTAATGAACGTCATACCACCGCTAAAGGCGGTCAAAAACGGATTCTTATCAATCATCAATACCCAATGTTTGCTAGCATAAGCTGGTTCAGTGTCGATAGCGACTACCCACGTCAGACCGCTGACGGTTGGCTGACAGTGGTGCCAAGACGGGCTTCTAGAGGTTACCTGCATTTAATTACCACAAAATGGTGATATATCATCAAGGAGACTTCTGTGAAGGTATTTTCACCAGAAAAAATGCTCATGTGTCCTAGAAATTCGCATTTTCTGATGGAAAACTATATCCTCATAAAATAAACGTCCCTCCGACCCTTGTTGCCCGTTTTTATCACCCATGCTATTAGTGGGTAGCTCGGAAATACGCATTCTGCAATGTGTGTCTTCTAGGAAAAATCTAAAAGCATGAAAAACTTTGATATGGCTCGTCACCAATGTTTTGCTAGTCACTCGATATCCCAAATCTCAAGAAATATGAAAAGATAATTGTTTTTTTTTGAAAAAGTTACCAAATAATTCTGTAAGAGCAAAAACAAACTTTGATTTCACACCTAAATTATTATCCCACCGCTCTGATATCGTAGCCGGTTTCTTGGGAATTATAGGCAAAGTTTATATGTCAGATGCATCTTGTCGTTACATAATGGAAGGAATATCAAACAAAAGT